TGTCGAGTGGGTTGCACACATCAGGCTGCACTACCCCCTGTTTGTGTTGCAGATGATCATCTCCCCTGTGCGCCTCAGCACGCTAAAAGAGCTTTTTCCCCTAAAAGAGCAATTTCGGGTGTGTCTTTTTAAAGACGACGTTGCGTGGCAAACTTGACGTTACGTCTTTGTAAAGACGATGTGGGTCTTGTTATAGACAACGTATCACCCGAGCGTTTCTGGATGCGGTTGTTACCTGGCGCTGGGTGATGGTCACGATCGCTGCCTCACGTGCCTGGGCATGTAGCACGCTGAGGTGGCGTTTGTGGATGAGGCATCTTCTCATTGCAGGAAGATGATCATCTTGGAGTCGCGGGCCAAGCTCCGTTTCCTTAAGGGGCGGAGTTCCGTTGCCTCTGCCTTGATCTAGTTCTCCTCTTGGTGGCAGCCAGGGGGGGCTACTTCAGGCAGTAGCGCGGGCAGTCTGAGGCACTCCGCTGCCGCCCTGCCCGTCCAGGCCCCTGCCAAACCTGGTGGCAAGCGAAACAGCAGAGGCCCTGAGACGGGCAACCCAGAGGTGGAGGGACCTGCTTTTCAGGCGATGGTAAGCACACCACTCCCTCCCCCGGAGGAGGGCCGGGCGGAGAATCTTTTCATCTTTTTCCGCCACTGACCTCTCGGTCGGTGGTACCCAAATACTCGTCAAAGAGCAATTCCTCTATTTCTGGGTCCCCAGAGGGGACGGGGGGTTGTGGACGATCCAGTACGTATCACACTCATCCTCCTCTCTCGCCAGTGAGCAGCAGTGGGCGGCTCGGGAGGACGAACCAACGGACTACCCACGCACCCTCTGCTCGAACGCAGGTCAGTGTTACACACACCCAGACCCCGCCTCGGACCGGCTACGAGATGCCTGGGCCGGGTCCCTACGTTCTTCTGCGCTGCCCCACTGCGGGTACGCCTGTAGTTCTGTTGATGCCACTTGCGCGGTGTCTGGGAGCCTGGCTTGAGCTACCCAGCACGTCTCAATGGCTCCTTCGAACCGTCAGGCTCGGTTATGCGATTCAGTGGCATCCGCTTCACAACAGTGAAGGCGGCCGATGGTCCTGT